TCAAAGTAACAGCCCTTTAGAATGACACAGAAGAGCTACAGGACAGGAGATGTGGAGACAAACCAAAATCCTCCAGTCTTATCCTTGCTCTTTGTTGTATGTTGAGGCTCAAAATGTTTTTGTTTTTTTCCAACCATAAGCCACAAAGTTGTTCTTCCTTCCCAGCAAACATATGCCTACTGGTTCCTTTGTGGTCTGCATCTGTGCAAAAACAAAACTTTCTCAGTGGTGGTCAGCTGGGTTTGTCTGCAGGCATGAAACAGGTTTCGTGTGGGGACAATGCGCTCCTCAGTAATCCGAAACCAGTCACGCTGCAGGATCGCTTCCACGGAATTGGAGGGGAGACTGCAGAAACCATATCTTCGTCATCTAGCACAGTGAAGAATGCAAGAGTAAGCATTAGCTGAGAAGAGGGACAGAGAGGGTTTTGAGAGCAGCACATGCATTTAAATGAAGTGGTGAGCTACAGTATGTTACCGTTCCCAGTCAAGCATGTGGGATCCCATTTTATAAAGCACTTAAAGGTTCATTCTGGTGCACAGAACGACATGTGACACCGTCTCCACACTCTTTGGAAAGCCCATTTTGGAAAAACAAACCTGCTGGTGTAATGAGAGGACTGTTAATACTTACAAATGTAATTACTTACATAATAAACTTTTCATATTTACCCTAGAGGCCGTTTACTTATGGGACTTCAGGCCAGATATTAATCAGTGACAGAGGGACACAAGCCTTAGGACTTAGGATAACAATCAAAAACACAACAGGAATGACCTCTTCGTGTAAACCGACTGGGTCATCTTGCTGCCAGACGCGAAATCCAGAGCCCCTGGCAGGAAATCCACCGTGTGCTGTTGACATCGCAACTCATCCGTGACAGACAAGGAATAACACTTTTGGAGAGGAAGAGGTCGGGAGAAAAACAGTGCAGTCCAAGAAAGACAGGGTGCTGTCACCGGAAAACACAGTTTTTTTTTTTAGTTAAAAAAAAAAAAAAAGAAGCATAATAATAAATCTTTCATGCAATATTCACTCAAGGAAAGAGAATGCATTAAAAACAGAGATTACACATGGTGAAAAATATGCTGCGGTTACAAAACATAACAGACAGGGCTTATAACTCAAAATCCAAGGGGGCTGAAGAAATGTACTATGTAATTTCTTTGCATTGCGATGTTGATAAATCATGTTTTGAACTGGTATTCAGTTTCTTCACTGATGCAGAGTCCATCGAATCATACTTACCTAAAATGGCAGTTTCACAAATTCTTGGTCGATGTTGTTGTAATCAATTTCTGTCACAGGGTCTGTAAAATATGTAATTTCATATTATTGGTCTCTGTATAGTCGTTCGCCAGCTGCTCTACCAACAATAAAGGCCATTTTTTATTAAAAAATAAATATTAAAGACATTGTAATTGGTCTCATTTAAAATGTCCCCACGCACCTAAAGGATTTCAGTTTTTCTTCGTGGGCTAGCACCAGGGTTAGTTTTAACGTCTATAATAAAGAGTAAAATGAGCCTGTAGTTTGTCTTTGGGGGGCAGTGAAGAATAGTGGCTCTAAGAATCTGGATTTGACCACAGCTGGTTTCAGGTTCAAGTGTAAAGCAGCCTGCGCTAACGAGAAAGTCACTTACCATTTGATCAACATGCAATAGGGAAAACAGAAATTACTGCAAATTTATGACCAGAGGCACATTGCAGGTCGTTGTTAATGGACGTGTCCTTGAAACAAATTCAATGTTGTAGAGAGATGTGGCTGGACCTGCGCCTCCGTCGTTTCTTTTCCTGGACATTGTTGATTTTGGCTGGACGTCAGTTTCTGATGTTGGCTAGACACTGGGAGAGCAGACTCAGGGTGCTTCCTTCTCATTCTCACACACATTTGGATGGGAAATGTGTGTTGGCAATTTGACAGAAGTAAGTAACTGAAATCCGATCTACTGTGGAAAAAAAACCATGACATTTTGCAAGAAAATGAGATCAGCCAGAACTCTAAAGGCAATGCAACAGATAATAATCATAAACTTTTATTCTGAATATACCTTATTTGCACATACACATTTGTCCTCCCCAGGATTATAAACATTGCTCTTTTTTTCGTTTTGTTGAGAACAACATCACTTTTGTACAAATTTTTACATGACTGATTCTGGAGAATCAAGTTCCACTAAAGTGTAACATATTAAAGCACAATCGAGGGAGACTGACAGAAAGGCCCACCAAGACACTCCCAAAGCGGGTGAGGGATGACTTGGTGGACGCCTCTATCAAGCGCCTGCCTTCAAACCAAAGGCAGGGAAAGACTGACTGACAGGTCCGCCAATCGTCTGCCAGAGAGTGGCAGCAAGGTAACAGACACAAAAAACACACATTAAGCAATCCTCAAGATTCCAGAAATGAAAAGGCCAACCCACACGGCCCATACAGAGAGCACCAACAGAATCAAAAACACTTCATATCACATTGAGAGTATATTATTCCTGAGGTGACAGCATCTGATTTTAGCACTTAAAGAGTAGAACGGAACATGTGGACAACTACGAAGCTCATGTTCATTCTCCAGTGTTTTCTGTGCATTTCTAAAAGGGTCAAGTTGGAGCGTTTTAGGTGGTGTGTATTTTCACTCATTTCATATCATTACTCTGCACAAAATGACCAGACCAGAGTCTTAGCTAGTTGTAGCTTGAACTACAGTTCATTTATACTTTGTAGTCTACTACTACTAGTTACAATTTTTCTTGATATTTGGGTGTTTTCTCTTTTTTTTTGTCTGTTTCAGGCAGTCACCAGCCTCCACTCATTTCCATATAGTATAAAATCCAATCAGAAGACTTCTAATTTTCTTGAATTGTATGATAAACCACAGTGAACATCAGATCTGCATTAATCGACAGTTTTTTGTGTGTTAAACAAATGTGAGTTCTATTTGTTTCCACATATTTACTTGTTTCTGGTAAAAACACAATGCTAGGGAGGGACTTTTTGTGGATATTGATTGGCTGGTATTCATTTCATGGAGCCTTTAATGAAGTTTAAAGGCCCTATTTAAAGGTGTTAATTGTTCATTTAACTCTTGTTATTTGCCAAATATACGCCAAAATGTTTACATCAAAATCCCTGTCTTTTCTCTTCCTGTAAAATAGTTTTAAAGGTTTGATGACAAATCCTGCACTATGGAAGATTTTTATTTTTTATTATTTTTTTTTATTTCATTTAAATTTTTATGTCCCATTGGACTTGAACATATATGGCCTCGCTTGAAAAATGACCTCATCATGGTTGTCTTCTTTCTCCGTTTCATCCCTGTCCGATTCGTCAGTAAACTCAAAGTGGTGGCGAGAAGTCCTCAACAAGAGAGCAGGATGTCGTCATGGCAGCTACTGGGGGCATAACACACACTCAGTACTATTAGCTAATTTAAACACCAGTCAATATCTGCGGCAAGTCTCTCCCTAGCTTCCAGTCTTTACTGGAAACACAAAAATATGAAGAATCCAGTAGCACTCGGACATCTTTAAATACAGATTGATTTGATTATTCTGAACTACATCACCTCTCAACAATAATAAACTTGACAAACATCAGTTATGACAAAATTTATTCAGATTTCAGGTTCACTGTGATGTTTTATAATCAAATAACTTTCAACAGTCTGTTATTTGATTACCATACTGTACACAAATGAATGGAAACTAATGTCTGTCTTCAAGTTAGGATCAAGATTAAGAGTCTTCAGTCACACTCCAAGAGCTTTGAGCTAAATGCTAACATTAGCATGTAACATGCTCACAATGACAGTGCTGATATTAGCAGGTATATACTTCTACATAAAAAATCAGCAGGAAAGTATTCATGATTTGTAGTTAGTGGGATAAAACTTGCTAAATCACTGGAATGCTCCTTACAGTGAATCATACATGGCTTGAACCATTCAGACAGATGAGAATAGTGCATTCAAACCTCACACTGGCCGAACAGATTCCCTTTCCCCAGTCGAATCAGACCAGAGTGGAGCCAAATGCTGTCTCCCCAAGAGAAAGGCAGTAACAGCTGATCATACCTTACCATATCATGAATAAATACCTGACACACAGGATATTATGCTTCCCAACATTACACACTAAAGCAGGAATATGTTGTTTTTTCTTTCTTTTTTTTTTTTTAAACAAATTATCAGCCACTACCATGCAGCACAGGGAAACAATTTATGAGACTTGCATCTTGCCTTCGTAATGTTGCATAAATGTTATATTAGGATAATAGGTTTCTCCACAAGAGAATAAGAGAGTCCTATATGGCACTTGATCTTCTTGAGTGTTAGTAAATGTAAAAGGAGCATAAATACCATTGTTAGCTTCACCACATTGTTTTAGTTGGAAGGTTATAGTTAAAGATGGAGGAGAACGTTGAGAGTAAAAAGTACACATCAGACCACAGGGAAAGTTACTGATGATGATGGTGGTGGTTTAATGATGGTGGTGGAGCTTCGCCACAAAATAAGACTGGGCTAGCATTCCTTGATCTGTCTTGTAGATATGCATACAATTAAAAAAGTGGCATTGTTCAGTGCGATGTAACAGCAATTACCGAGGTAAAAGAACTATGAAGAGGGTCAGAGACAAATGTCAGTAATTATATGGTTTTCACGTTTCCACAGAATAAATAGTTTCCTGCGAACATGAGTCAGTGTTTATTCGAATATACACTCACAAAAGATGCACTCCCTGGTTTAAGTGGTGTTCTGAATTAACTGTCCCCCAAAACCACCAAATTACTACTTCTGTTGAGTTGTGAATGCCAAACAGATGAACAGTGGCGTCCTTAAACTATCTGATATCACTTAACAGTCGTAACAGAACGGTTTACTGCTCTGGCAGTGAACTAATGAGGCATCACTCAGAACCCACAGTGGCAAGAAAAAGTGTGTGAACCCTTTAGAATTACCTGGTTTTCTGCATTAACTGGTCATAAAATGTGATCTGATCTTCATCTAAGCCACAAATGTAGACAAACACAGTGTCCCTAAGCTAAAAACACACAAACAATTCTAATCTTTCATGTCTTTGTTGCACACTCCCATTCAACAAGCATAGTGCTGGGGGAAAAAGGAAGTGAACCCTTGGATTTAATAACTGGTCGAACCTGCTTTGGCAGCAATGACCTCAAACAAACTCTTCCAGTAGCTGCGGAACAGACCTGCACAATGTTCAGGAGGAATTTTTGGACCATTCTTCCTACAGAGCTGCTTCAGCTCAGACATATTCTTAGGATGTCTGGTGTGAGTGGCTCTCTTCGGGTCATTCACTTTTCATTAATTTTCCACTCAGTGATGACTGATGATGTCAAGCGGTCCTGAGTCAAGCTGCTCTTTGGCAAACTCCGGGGACAGTGACATTTTTTTGGAGAGCAGTGGTTTCCTCTGTGGTCTCCTACCATGGATGAAGCGCTCTGCACACCATGATTTGTTTATGGCAGACTCATGAACAAAGATGTTAACCAGCTCCAATGATTACTTTAAGCCTTTAGCTGCTACTTGAAGGATCTTTGTTATGTTACTGATCATTCTGCATTGTGTCTTTGGAGTCATATTAGCTGGACGCCCACTTCTAAGAAGAGGAGAAACTAAATCGTCTCCATTTATAAACAGCTTGCCTGACTGTGGACTGAGGAATATTTCAACTCTCTGAGATTACTTTGTAACCCTTTCAAATTTATGCAAATTAACAATTATTAATCGTAAGTCTTCTGAGATCTGTTTTGTGAGGCATGGTTCATTTAAGCAGATGCTTCATATGAATGTTTAAGTGTTAAAATGTTTAAGTAGCTCCAACCAGGTTATCCAGGTTTGATAACTCTTGACTCCAGTAAGCTTTTGTTAATGCCATTAGCCGAGCGGTTCAAAAAGTTTTTCCAACCTACACTGTGAATATCTGACAAGAACAAGACAATAATTTGTGTGTATATTAGTTAAAATAGATTATGTTTGTTAATAATTGAAGATCTCACCATATTCCAAGACAAATTTATACATGAATGCAGGTAATTCCAAAGGTTCACTTAGTTTGTTTTGCCACTGTACATATGAATCATTAAAACCTGTGACTGTCAATCCTTTACTTGAACCAACAGACACCTAAATCAAACTGTATGATTATTTGTTGACAGCAGCGCCAAACAAGCGCAGATGGTTTAAGTAAAAATTATTTTTATATCAAAGATTTTAAGCTTGTTTTGTGAATAATCACAACCCAGTTTTCTGCCCGACATATTATTTCCCATCTAATTGCATTATCTTCTTTTGATTCTCAATATCGTGTGAGTACATAAATGAACCTCAAAAATACAGCAAGTCATTTTCTACATGTTCAGGATGGATTTATATTTTCAGTCTGAAATGAGTAAAATGGTTTATTTCGTTTGCTACTTAACTGATTTGAGAGTCCAGTTTTGGTCCTGTGCAATAGGTTATCATTTATTATTTTGGCAAATTTATTTTGCTCTGTAGCAGTTGTTTGGCGGATTAGTGCATTCTTTTTTTTTTCTAATTTAACTGTCCTGCCCTTTTGCAAACAACAAGATGACACTATTTCACTAAAACCATCTACAGTAAGTCATCTGCAGACTTTCTTGCTTAAGTTAGGTACAGCATGTTATATATGAACCTGAAGACAGACACACAAAATGAACCAAGATGAACTTATATTGGGGAAAATTAAATAGAGCAAAAGAGAGGGTCATGAACTGCCTGCTGCTGTATAGTGATTTCCACTTGGTGATCTCATGCCACAGAATAATAAACTGCAAGAGGGACTCTCACTACTACACAGAAATAGAGGCTGTTCTCCAGCTAGAAGATCAACCTGTAAAGACAAAAAACAGCTGCACTTTGAATTGAAGTGCAGATAGTAGTCATTTAATTTAAAAAGTGACAGCAGTGAATACAAACGCACTTCTTTCCTTCTTTTTTGAACAAAATGTTAAGTACAAACTCTCACGTCCCCCTCATTCATTTTCTTTAGTAGTGGCAATAAAACAAACAGTAGCATGCTGTCCTGATTCTTCATTCAAATAACCAATAAATAATAAAATAAATAATTACTACGCTTCTCTTCATTCAGTAGCCACAGTCTACAAAGCTAAAGGGTTCATCTGAGTCACACAGTCCACATGGCACTAGAGATTTTGTCCAGTGAGCACACACAGGACACCAGCCAGGCTTGTCCTGATTGGTTAATGCGTGCTATGGCAACAAAGTTTGCACTGGAGCAATCCAACAACAAGGCGTGAAATCCAGATACATTTACCACTCCTGATGTTTCAGCTACAAAGTTAAAATCCATACACTCAGAAGCGGGCGCTCTGTGGCAGCTGATGGGTTGGTTTCTGTGCATTAACATAACAATGAACATGATTTCCACACTGCAAATACAGTATCTATATGAAAGAACACCAGGCGAAAGTGAAGGCAATGTCCTTAAGAGACATTGTGAAAATGTTCTGGGTGGTGCTATTTAAAAATCTGACCCGAGACAACATTATATTATACGCAACCCAACTGAAGCAAATGAAGGGCAAAAGCATGTGATGTAACAATTTGGCATCTCTTACTGCAATCTTTGCCAAATTCTCAACCACAAAACAATAAATACCTAATAACTAGCCACTGCAAATCGATTCAAAATAAATTGTACGCTTGCAAAGGGCAGCACTGTTTCTGGCAGTGGTGAGTATAACTGCTCAACATGTTCAACAAACAGCAAGTCCCTCCCATTGTGATTTCAATCCCTCTGATACTATAAGGCAGTCCAAGCTCCCTCATCAGTGACATCAAGCCAGAGAAAGTTCAGAAGTCGCCAATCAAAATTAATCTCTGTATTCTTCTAATCTCAGCCGGCGGGGACCTTTGAAGGGATGAAGGATTAACTGTAGGTCGAGGTCTTTCTTATTGGTCAGATATCTTCTGATACACGTTTGTTTTGTCACTTGTACCCTTGCACCTGGCGAAATCACTTTGAGAAACCCCTGAAAATGAAGGTATCAAAAAAAGAAACTGGCAGAATGTGTTGCTCACGGATTTTTTGCTTATTCGTTATAAGCGCTTCTCATCTGGCGTTCATCATTTCGGTGGCAGCGTTGCATGCTGGTTGCCATGTTGGAGATACAGAGGGAGGGCAATAGAGGGTGTGATCAGGTTGGTTCAGGGGTCATGATGGGACGGCGTGGTTTCTGGAGCCAGTCAGAACCCAGAGCAGCACCAGCTGAAGACCCACCATTAGCCAAAGTGAGGGAGTCAGGCCGGATGCCCCACCACAGTCAGGGTCCTCCTCCTGGTGCCACATAGGGAGGAAAAGAAGTGAAGTTACTGTTTGTTAAAACCAATACAGTAAATACTTTTCAGCTGGCCATTTGCTAAACCCCTCCCCGAAACATCTATTGTCCAATCATAGCTGGACGCAGTAAGACGAAGCTAACATTAGCTACCCTGTTATGCTATATTGGATTTTGGAACGTCTACATTCCAGCAACCCTCACAACATTTCCTAAGATTGAGTTACATTTGTCAAACACATTCATGTTTAAGACCTATTTTATAAGATTCTAGATTTAAAGTAAGTTGGCTAAAAACATAAAAAAGTCATTTAACCAATATGTGGCGCTAACATTTGCTGAATTAGCTAGCTAGCTATAGCTAGCTCTGATAAACTCTGCCAGAGCCAGTTATCACTTCAGCTGGCAACCATCGACTTTAATGGCTATTTTTTCTGTCTCTGTCTGAAATCAAACCCATTTCAACAGTTACTAAGAACTTTGTATTGTAAATCTGCAGCTGTTAACATTGTAAACAATATGTTCCGTGTGAGAACAGAAAGCCTGATGCACGTAGCAAACTAGCAACACTCACTAAGGCTGGTGAGGCTTAGCAAATGGCAAATTGGAACTCTACAGGAATTAAGAGGTCAGAAAATATAGATAGTCTTCAAAATGTCTTTTTTATACCTGACTGGAAAACTTTGAGCCATTATGCGTGACAAAAACGGATATGATACTCTCTGTGTGCTTAGCATCTGGAGAGCTACAGGGGAAAGAATGTCTTGCCTAGATATGTTTTTGGCCAAGAGAAAAACAGTTGAGAATCGTTAAGAGACGTACAAGCGTCTGGATGCAAATGAGAAGTGAATGGTCAGTTTTAGCTAGCGTCTGGCTACATTAGTAATCAGATGTCAGTAGAGATTGACACTAGAGTTGATTGCCCAAGACGGATAATGATAGATGGGGAAAGGTACAAAGAGCATAGCTTGAAGTTCAAAGTCAGGTGAGACGGAGAAAATGTTGGCGAGAATCAGAATGAGACAGGGAGGTAAGTAGGGGGAGGTGAAGACAGATGGTGGTAGAACGTAAGAGAAAATGACAGGTAAGGATGATAACTGCAGGAAAACAGTGGAAAAAGGCATGAAGTAGTGGAACAAAGACTAAAAATAAAAGAGAAGATAAGGTGAGGAAAACAAACGGAGAATAGGAACATCAGGGGAAAGAGAGCAAAGGTTACAAGCCAAAGACTGTTAGATTGAATATAAGATAATGATAAAATGTTAATGAGAGAGAGAGAGAGAGAGAGCGCTAGCATTATGGGACTGACCCGAGACAGCACATGAACAGTGGCAGCAGTAACATGAGCAGAGAGGAAACCAATGGGGAGCCTGCGCTCCTTCGGCACATGGCCTCATCCTAACCATCAACAGCCAATCACAGAGCAGGAGACAGAGAAAAGAGAGAGAGAGAGAGAGAAAGAGAGAGAGAGAATCATGCAGCAAAAGGTCCACACAATTAGCAAGAAGTTAGAAAGCAAATATGAGCAGAAAGGGCAGAAAAATTATTTTAAGTAGACAAATAGTAGTACAAGACGGATGCATTCACTTCTGAGACAAGAGTGTGAGAGGAAGAGTTAGTGTGTGGGAGGGTGTTTGTGTGTATATGAGTGTCTGTATGTGAGTGAGCAAGACAGTGCGGGCGTAAGAGTTAATTCAAAAGACCAAAAAAGTCTGACATTGGAAAAAGACTATAGAGTGAAAACAAACAGAGCAGTCAAGCACAGAGGTTTCACACGCAGAGATTCTGTGCTGCTCATAAAAATGTTTGTTTAGCTTAGTTATTCATAAGTTGAGTAACAACCGAGTGTTTGTCTTTGCGTGGGAAATCTGTGCACATACAGCTTTCGAGGGGTTTCAAAAAAACAAAAATGAAATGACATGCACCATGTAAAGATATTAGTGATGGAAAGGTGCCATGGGTAGGATTTCTTCACAGATATATTGTTTCCATATCAGGAGAGCAGCTTAGGGATTTTGGGCTCTGGCCAGAGAGGCTGAAAGTTTTACCTTTTTTTGAAATCCTTCTGGTCTGTTTTTTATTGGTCCCTAATATGCTGCTGTTGCTACCCCTTATTTTCCAGGTGAAATGTCAAAACAGATCAAGACGTATCATCATGAAAAAAAAAAAAAAAACATATGGAAAAAATGCTCCCAATACCAGGCACTTAGAGGTGCGGCTAGATAATATGCACCAAAATGCAAAAATTGTCACAATTATCTTGACAACCTTAAATGTAACTATAATGTTTTTTTCTGATTAATTGCTGTCTGATCAGTTAAAGATGGATTTTTTTGGTTGTGCTGTTGGTTACATGTTATAGATATTCTCAGCTTATGGATCAAATGACTATGCATAATGTCAAGGTGTTCCCCAACTCCTAAATCCCCTCCTAAATTCCAGGAGGAAAAGGTAGATGTTGTTTTAATGTATTATCTACTAACACAATGTTTGTGTTTTGTTTTTATTAACTTATTGTATGTATTAACATATAGTCCTTTATCTTTTGGCCTTGGAGTTGTATTATGTGCCCTGTTTTTATGTGTTTATGTTCTTATGCATATATCCCACTGTTGTGCACCCAATTGCCTCACTGGGGACATATAAAGTAATTGATTGTTTGATTGATTGATTGCTTGATTGATTGAAGTTAGCTATTAGAAGTAGAACATTTAGCAGCTAAAGAATCCTCAATAGTTGCTAAAAACAAAACAGAGCTAAAAGGAGAGAGAGAGAGTATCTGACTTACATTTTCCAAGTTTCCAGATACATGACTCCAAATTAATGTTAATGTCTATAACCCCTGTCTGGATGTAGAAATAGGCAACCTAACCACATCAACTTTTTAAGGTGATAATATGTCACTGCTGTGTTTTCAGCTTGTTGCTTTACCCCAAATAAGACGAAAAAAGATAATGCAGGTTTAATTATATTGGATTCAGATGATGTGATATGGTTATTAAAGGTCATATAGTTTATAGGCCAGGCCCACCTGAGTATTCAAAATAAAATGTTAGGTACAGATTTACAGATGATTATAATAGTTCTGTTCGTGCTGTAAGTCAAAAACTAAATGAGACTCCGTCCTGTAAAATGTAACAAAGCCTAAACCTTCCTTGACATAAATTGATTTTAGCAGTGAAACCCAAACAGTAGCCTCAAGGCACACACTTTAATTTGAAAGGCTTTTGCCAATTTCAGGCTGGATTTTCTGCAAACTTATTTAATTCTTATGAGAGAAATAAAGCAGCAACAGTCTCACTGTTTGGCAGCTTGGCAATGTTATAGATGAAACCCTACACAGAGCACCCTTAGCAACACATTTGTATAGTTCAAATTGTTCTGTACTAGAAGCATGTGCATGTCTGATGAAACCAACTTACATGTTCATTGTTATCAAAGCAGACTGCAGGTCCTTTCCTGTACCGAGGACTGTGAGCCAGTTCACAGGGGTCAGGACCTTCAGCTGGATGAGGAATGTCAGGAACATAACATGATTCTGTATTAATAAGAGCAGCAACAAAAGACACTTGAATCTGATTGCCACATGGAAAATAATGATTATATATAACATTTGGATTACAGTGGAAAGTCACTGGGATGTATTACATTACGGTGCAAATGAGGCAGATCCAGTTTAATTGTGTAAGGACTATGAACCAAGTTGTCTCTTTGGGGATGTTAGGCACATTGCTCAATCCGCAATGATGTGGCAGTCATTTTAAAGCATTGTGTTTTCCAAGGAGCTTAATCTCTAATTGACCACAGCCCTGTGTGCTTGAGAGAATGTCATAGATTTGTTTATAAGCTATTCAGCTGAGTTATCCTGCACTACCATCTGCCAGACAGACACAGAGAGGAACCCAGTGCAGACACATCTTAACTCCGGGCCAAATTTTAAATGTCAATTGCTGCGGAAATGCTCACTCAATATTGTGGCTGCAGGATTTAGTAGATGCAAATGAGGGAAATAGTGAGTGGTGAAATTTTTGGATAACGGAAAACAACCCATTTACAGAAGCTTGGACAAAGAACATTCTGTTGTTTACGGAAAGTTTCCTCTCAGCAGTCAGTGGTAAAAGTATCAGCTAATAGCAACATGTCATAATCAGCGTCCATCCATGTTTATCTCGTCAAAAACAAACTTTTTAAACATCTGTTCGCTGAAGCAAACGTGCGCGTTCTCTGCCAGATGAAAGCTATGTTAGGTAAAAAGGATACACGGCTCTTCTTCCTGTTTCATCGGAGTGGCGTCACAGTACGAGCAGGTGTCTCTTGCATCAGCAATGATAAAGACCAGGTTTGTCTTAGGCAGCTTTTCAGCGTGGTAGAGCCTGGAGAGAAGCAGACACACGAGAGACACAAGAGCAGTTGTTGACACATGGGCTTGAGTCCAGGAAAGACGGAGATAAAGTTTCAATGAAACATGCTCACAGGAGATGCAGGAAGCTGGATATTTAACCAGAAAGCAATGAAAGGAAGACACAGATTTTAGTCTGTTACTTTAATATCTTTTATACTGAGGAGCTGTGAAAGTGGACAGTAATTATATGATATATATAAATACATGACTAGGCAACACTCCACAAACCCTTTAATCTTTAACACAACCCCAGGCTGCGAACACAATGAAAAGAACACTGTGTATTGCAAAATCAAGTTTCCTAACTGCTTTTATTCCTAAGGGGACAAAAACCTGCTGTGCCACCCCACTGTCATCCAAGACCTTTACTGAAACCCACATGTCGCTGGTGCACAAATGATTTTCTCTGCTTTTTTATGGTGGTCGTTAAAAAGAAACGTGTGTGCGGCTAATGTGCAGGAACGCTGCACGGCATGCGGGCAGGCACTCCATTAGCCGGCACGAGGGGGCCTTAAAACGGCGTACGTACACACACAAGTGCACAGTCAGTCACACACACACACACACACACACACACGAACGTGCCAAGACGGTGGTCCGCACTGGTGACTTGACTTCACCTTCATGGCATGTGAATTTTTACAGCCCTCTCGAGTGCCACCTCTGGGGACTTCATTTGTATCTCATGGATGTAAATGTATCACTGCAGGTCGGGGAAGGTGTTTGGACCTTAACCATACTCTGGGAGTGTGTATGTATGGGTTGAAGGTGGTTTTGAAGCTTTTACCTGGAGCAGTTTTCGCAGTCGACTGTGCCTCTGAAAGACACGTTGCTGTTCATAAAGTAATATTGAGTTTGCTTGGTGATGCAGACCTCTTTAGACATGGCATCTGACACTTCATCATCCATTTCAGCTGTAGAAGGACACACGAATATATCAAACAACATATACTGTAAAAAAAAAAAAAAAAATAAAAAAAAT